ATTAAATAAAAAAGTATTTTATATATATATTAACTTTTTACATTCAGATTGAGTTTAAAATTTCTATTTTCACAGCGAAAAACATTCATTAAATAGACTTGCGAGTCTTTTCTAATTATGTTAAATTTGTTGTAACTTCAAAAAGTATGCAACATAAATATTCGGTCAGCCATGCAGCATTATGAAATCTGTGGCATACTTATGCTAAAATCTAAAACAAAAGAACAACGAATAAATATTCATAGCAAAACAAACAACAAGAACAATATGTTTACAACAGGTGTCTGCCCTCTAGTTCAGGGTGCCAAAAATCATTTAAATACTATTCGAATCAAGAGAATAAACAACAATCTGTTTTCTTTTTGTTTGTAAATTAATTTAAGTGAAAACATGTTTCGGATTCGTTCGATTTGAAGAAAGAAACTTGTGTGCATTGATCTTATGGAGGTCAGGGCCTTTATTCAATACTTTTCGAAAACTTAGCTTAATTAGTGAGCAGAGCGATATGTAGATCTAGACAAGAGAAAGTTGAAATAGTGAATTGCACTCAAATACATAATTATAATTTGTTCCCAAATCGAGAGGGAGTATATTGTTATTGACATATACTGTAGATTCTTCGTTCCCTAAACATTTCCCACACATATATTTCTATATTTCTTTAATTGCGCTCTAACCACATAATAACTAATTTGTTGTCGCCAGGCGTGAACATTTACCTTACATAAGGTAACTTTTATAACAACCTAGATTTTATGGCTCTAACAGTAAACTCTACGGCAGTCAGTCAGTCACTTACTCAGTCACTCAGTCAGTAAGTCAATCAGAGCAGACTGTTTTATCTGTGTATGCAGTAGCTTTTTAGAAATAATTTGTTGCTCGGTCTGCCCCAACCAGGTCAACATTTGTAATATAAAACTGTAATTACTCAACTTAAGCACTGCTATCAGCCGAATTATAAAGATAATAATGATTAGCTGTTAACAGGTATCGAAAGCTCTTCACTGATGCTTAGAGTAGGGCAATATATAAAAGCCTATCAATGCGAACATCACATATTTTTGGCAATCACTTGAGTAAATGTATTTTATATGCATGACAGCCTACGACTGATAAGTGATAATCAGTGATAACAAACACTTGTAGTCGCTGATTGGCATTAGAATTTGTGTGCATCGAGACAGCTTCCACAATTCCAGATGGCCACAGCCACAGCCACAGTCAAAGCTAAAGCCAAGAATTGGGCAGCCAAAGGCAAGGGAGCCGAATCAAAATTTATTGCCACGAACAACATCATCGACATGAGACCCAGATGTAAATAAGATCAGCCGTATGCGCTAATTAAGCTGCTGAGATGTTTTCATCGGCTGCTGTCAAATATTGTTACCCACTTGGCAATTCACACTTGACACTTGACGCGCTAATTTCCGCTGCAGCAGGAGGAGGTGCGGGTCTTCCCATCTTATCGCGGCCAAAACGAAGAGAGCGCACTGACTGACAGTGGGCGAGAGAGAGAGAGAGAGCGAGAGCGAGTGCGTGAGAGCGAGAGCGAGAGCCACAGTGAGGTTGAGTGCGAGAGCGAGAGAGACAGTTGTCGTTCGGAGCGTACATGGGGAGATATCGTGTTAAAATTTTGCGCAAGCAACAGAGTTATCAGTTTGAAATTTATTTATTGTTGTTTACTAGGCGACAACCTGTGTACCTACCTGCCTAGTGCCTAGGTAACCAGCCAGACACCAACAGTACATGGGGCCTGAGCGAGGCCTTTGTGCCAGCATTTTTATATCTCCACTCAGCCCGCCCCCACAGCGCCCGCCATTGCTCGATCTTGGAATAGCAACGAGCTCATTTATTGCAGACCGGGGCCACTTTACGATTTGCGCACTTCAATCGAGTTATCGTGCTGAAATTTCACAATTTCAGAATTGCCTCACCTGAAACGGGGCCTTCTCTGCGAGGGACTCAGCGTGGACTGCCAGGCACGTACACAAACTAAACTGGGCAGCTGTTAAATATCACATAAGCAAATTATGCGACTCATAGAACGATGAACTCAACGAGAGTCCGCAGTGAGCTCTACTATATCTGGAGGCATCAGATAAACCTATTTGCATAATACAATGTTTCTTAAAAGTTATAAATAAACCAAACATAACACAGAGACGATAACTGCATTATCTCCCCTGATAATGCTTGGCTAAACTTGAGATTTCAACTTAAGATCAATGTTATCTAATAGGAATAGATTTTCTGAAGTGGACACGAGTCAAGACATCAAATACAGCCTGATTTTAGATGTAAGTTAGCTAGGCAGAAAAGTCTTTTAGTTTATCATAATTGACATACTTGATAATTTAGTTAAATAGTTGAATAAACATTCCCAAAAAAACAAAGAAAATGGAAAAAATATTGATTCGTAGCGTGACTGATGTTAATATTTGCACAAGTTTGTTTTGCCTTTGAGAGAATAAGAATTATGAATTTCGTCAAGATCTAGTCAATCAGTTATTTAACACTCATACACTTCAGCTGCGAGTAGGTAAATATATTGTGTGAAATTTGTGCTAATTGATAAAGCCAAATAATATTTGTCAATTTTCGACTCGGCTATGCAATTTTCTTTTGTGAAAGCAATGAAGATAATTTCACTTGGTAACGAACTTAAAATGGTATAATAAATGAGGATAGAGTTTTCAACAAGAGATTAGCATTTGGCTAATCAATTTTCATTTTACAATGAATCCTACCAATACCACCTAATAGATGCCATTAATTCTTTCAATCTCTACATTCAATAATTATACCTAATTGAGCGAACCTCAATGGAATATCACAAAGGATTTCCATTTTCCGTAGCTAATTAAAGCCACAAAAATATACTTTGATAAATCGTTTAAGGCGTATAACAACAATTATGAGCTTAATTATCAACATCAATTTAATTGCGGCTGTCAAAAAGCGCCAAGTGTTAAGTGTTTACTGTACATGTTTAATTATACCCATGCGGAGGTTTTTATAATATTGTCACGATGTGTCAGACTGAACTACTGAGCGAGCATCCTCGGCTCCATAAGATATACAAGATATATAAGATATACAAATATTCTTATTTGAATCTTTGTATTTTTCCACTTGCCCTTGCTTTAGCATTGAGTTCTTATCGAAAAGTATTTCAGATCTCGCGACTTTTGATTGAACTTCAAGAGAAATTTCATATAAAGCTAATATGTGTGAAGTCTAGGTAGATATAATAAATTATATGTTATTTGTGCTAAATTGATGATATATTTTATTGCGTTGTATAATGAATTATCATTGTCTGAATTGAGATTTGATAGCTATGCTACGATTGTAATAAAAAGGTTTTGCTAACTATATTTGATTGATTTTAATATTGCTAATAATTTAATTATTTGATTTACATCTTTATTACTACCTAGATAAATACAAAAGATTTATAGTAATTATTTACAATTGCTGCTTAGCAGTTAGTAAAAGGGTTTATATATTAGCATGTCCTACATCCAGTAGAACCAACAGATCCGTCCATCTCAGTGATGGTTGGGATTCGCCTCGAGCAGCTTTTGGGTCACCTGGCGCAGCACCTGCAGCTGCTCTTTGTATTTGTGCGCAGCCTCCAGCTGCTCAGCCTCGGTGTGATGTGGATGGGCATCTGCGCTGGAGTCTGTTCCGGTATGATGGTCGTGATCGTGGTGATCCTCGTCCGAAGCGCCACAGCTGTGGCCGTGGCTATGGCCATGACCTCCACTGGCACCTGCAAGAGGAAATGGAAATATACGATTGATGATGAAGACTTGGAAAACAAGTTTCGACTGAGATGCAAAACAAATTGAAATGTAAACCGGAATCGTTACGTGTGCAAATCTTTATACACTATATACTCATATATATTTGTATATGGAAACATTTTTTGCCGCAATTGATATCTATATTGATATTGTCGCAGAGCAATGGAAAGTACAGACGGTTCTTTTTTTACCCTATTGGGCTTAGCCGGCAGCTGAGATGATTTCACTGCGGGATTTTCCTTAACTTGTTTGCGGTGTACGTGAAACCACCGGCATGTCAGACCGCAGCGCGACGAGCGGGGGCGGACGAGGTCTGTTACAAGGTTAAAAACGCAAAAATAACAACAAAAAAACTGTCGATCTATCTTTTCAGTACGCATGCTCTGTAAGAACCTGTTCCTATTTCGTCGGATTTGATTCCGGTTAAAGAGCTATAAAGCTCTCGCGATCTCTTGCCTAAGCTAACACACACTCACACGCACACATAATTGTTTACTCACCGATCTGTTGCAATCCGAACATAATCAGAAATCCAACAAAGAGCGCCAGGTAGGCGCGCAGACCGGAACGATTCTTCGATAGAATCTCGAAGAAGACCACATAGATGAGCGTGCCGCAGGCGAAGCCTTGGAGTATGGCCGACACCAGGTTGGGCCCGGCTCCATGCTGGCCATGGCTAATCAGTATGCCCAGCCCGATGCCCAGGGGACTGACAACCGCGAATGTCAGCACGTAGAGCACCGCCAGACTAAGGCGGGTGCGCGCCACGATCAGCTCGACGCCCACGCAAAAGGCCAGCACCAGCTTGTGCGCCGAGACGGCGCCGAACATGAACCACACCGAGCTGGCGGTGCTCTCCAGGCCAATGGCCATGCCCTCGAAGAGCTCGTGCAGCGACAGCGCCAGCACAATGAAGAGGCCGCGCAGGGAGGAGGTCAGCATGTCATTCGACGCCAGGGAGCCATCGCCAATGGGCAAATGGCTGTGTCCGTGGCCATGTCCGTGGCTGTGGTTGTAGTTGTGGTTGGCTTGGTTGTGCTTCTCCTGATGCACTGCGCCATACTTCTGCTGCTCCAGATCGTTGTGCATCAGATCCTGCACAGATAGCGTCGCATTGTTGCCAGTCGTCGTTAGCTCGGAGCTGTCGCCGTTTGGAGCAGTCGAAGAACCTTCAGACCTCACCAGGTGACTGTGGCGAATGCTGTGGCCACGCTCGAAGGCGGCGCCAGCGTCGTCCTGGTGGTGCCGGTGCACATAGCAGTGCATGGCCTCCTCCACGAAGTACATGAGAAAGAAGCCGCAGCACATGAGCAGCTCGGCCAGCGGGAAAGTCAATTCGCCGATGATATTGCACTCCTGCAGCTGCTCCACCACCTCCTGCACCTCGGGCAGCAGATGGAGGAAGGTGGTGGCCAGCAGAACACCGCCGCCGAAGTAGAGCAGGCACTTGACCACGGTGGCCGAGCGGGCATTCGTTTGATTCTCTGTCCAGCGGTAATAACGATTCAGCAGGAACGGAATGGAACCACAGAGTGCACTGGCGCAGCAGAGCACCACCATGGCGGTTACTTTTGCCGTCAAAAGAGAGCCGGAGTCGTCATGATCGTGATCGTGATCGTGGTCGTGATCATGATCGTGATCGTGATCGTGATCGTGGTCGTGGTCGTGGTCACTGTAATGTGCCGCCAGGTGACGAGCGGGCTCATCAATTTGCAGGAAGCATTTCAGAAAATTATTCACTTGTGTTTGGTTCATTGTTGCTTTGAATTTATTTTCGTTGTCTCAGCAGATCCGTAAATATTCCTTTTCTCGGTCTCTCGCTCTCGCTCTCGCTCTCTCCCTCTCTTTGTCTTTGGCCTACAATTGCCAAAATGTTATTGTTGCTCGGACAGCGAGTGCTGCATTGGGAGTCCAGCTGCAATGTCTGCTTTGAATGTCAACGATTTTCACTTTCCAACTTTTCTTATTCAAAAGGTTTTCTTGCTCACACACAGAAACGGGATTCGACGCTCGCCGTTTTATTTTATTTTCGACTTATTAAGTGCTTTACTTTATGCTCTTTTCGATTTTTTTGCTTTTGGTATTGAGATATTTGGTTTTGCCGCCACACAAGTCTTGAACACTCGGAGCAATCTCACAGACTGATTGGCGTTGGCTGAAACCGAGTCTGGCTGGAGCTGTTGCTGCTGGCAGTTAGTTAGCTGCCGCTGTCTATCTTGCAGTTATTTGCTCTGCTCTGCCTGCCCACCTGCAACATACGCCAGCTAAATACTCTCGACTCGACTCGACTCGACGCTACGTGAGCAGCAAATTAAGTAAGCGTCAACAGCGGCGATACTCTTAAAGCTCTGACTTGCTCTCTTCTGCCTACTCGAACGTTCACCTGTTGAACGACTTCAATTTGCTTTGGGCTAAGCATAATACGAATAGCTCACTCTCGCACATCAGACATGCACACACTCACACACGCACACATACGCAAGCATACGTAATAAATATTAGCTTAGCAAATGTGTTCATTGGAGTCCCTTCACTTTTCGCATCGCCAGAGAGTGCGACAGAGATGCCTGACCTTTAGCTAGCTTTTGTTAGGATGCAATTGATTTGCTCCACGTTAATTCTTGAACAATTGCTGCTCAGGCGGCTGCCCGCTTGGCCAATCAAAGCAAAAGCTTTTGCGGAGAGCCACGAAAAGCTTTTGGTGTTTGTCTTGGCTAAATTTGCACAGTTTACGTAGTCAAGTGCAAAAACAGTTACCAATGTAATTAGCAATTGCTGTAAATGGGTTCGCTCGAGCAATGTGATCACGCTGCCGGAAAATCGTGTAAGTGAAATAATTATTAATTAAATATATTCACTTAGAAAACAAAGCAAAGTGTTAGTCATGCGCTCGATCGCGACCGATTAGCTACAGTTAAATTGATATTTTTAATAATTAAGCCCACTATCGCAATCTGTAAACAAATGTGATGTGACGACATTTGCATAGCTGTTTCGACAAAACTGCCCCAGGTTGGACATTTATAAATACAGATATTAGATAAATGCAATAAATTTCCTACTTATGGCAAAGATGTTAATATATATTCTATGCATATTTTTAGTTATATTTATCCAAGTTTAGTTATATTTCTCAATATTTGCATACAAAATCTATACTAAATATCTACATGGCTAACACTATTATGTCTGTACAAAATATTACCTGTCAGAATCACTTCATCATCATATGTCATGTATAATATAATTTATTGACCTAACTATATGTGTATATGTTCTTGTACTTCATCAGTTCATGTTGACAGGGTAGCGAGATATAGAAACTGAGATAATAGAAACTCTAGCATATACATATATATATATATAGATTGCTCAGTTGACAACAAAAAAAAATAAAAGGGATTAGTAATTACCTATTCAAATAAAATTTATTGGTCTAGCAAAACAAAAAATCCAACACTAAGCAATAGTTAGTCAAGTCAACTGCGTAAAATATATTTCATTTTTGTTATGCATCAAAAATTGCGTCTCTGAGACTTGCTTGTAAATGTTATTTCTAATAGAGAGAAGAAAGAGACGTAGAGAGTGAAACAATAATAGAAAGGCTTGTTAAACAACAACACAATGTGGGAGATCATCCAGGTCATCAATATTTTATGTCAGATGACCCGAAAGTAAGGGTTACATTAACGGTGGAAAGAATTCGTCGGAGAGCACATGATCAAATTTATTGTAATAATCCGATATGCAAAAGTAGAACGGTTTATCTGGTTATTTATAAATTTACAGAAATGTTTTATATTTTTAACTTGAAGATCTTCATTTTAGGGTTTATATTGTGCTTCTTGTACAGAAACAAAATATTGGCAACCTTTGTATTAGTCCATCAATTGACTTATGAATGGATTGATTCTTGTGCTCTAAGCAGATGTTATATCATATCGGACACCCTTTCAAAAATTCCTCCTCATATATGTGTTTCCAGATAGTGGAATATATTTACGCGCACTCATAAATCACGACACATTTATTTTTTTTTAATAATTTTCTTTTATTTTGTTTTCATTTTTAGCTTGTTTTTTCTGTTTTTTTTTTTCGTTTGTTTCTTAGGGGGTTTCTTTCTTTTGCTTAAATCTTGTATGTTTTGTTACTTATAATTAATAATAAATCATTTTTATACAATATTTATCTTTTACATACTTGCTTTCACTTTTCAACTGAAATGGCGCTTAAAACATTTTCAGCTGTAAATGACTTCTTAAATATTTTTTAAATGTTTTTGTTTTTTGTTTTTGTCGCTCGCGTTATGCATTTAATTTAAATGTTAAATTTGTTTAAAACTGCTTGCCAGAGTTAACAATGTCAACTACTTATCCTGCATTTAGCGAAAGGCTCTGCGTGCATTGCTTGCGCCAACCGGTTCGACTCCCCCGCACTCCTACGCTTCCTCCAGCTCCTGTGCTCGATCTCCGTTCTGTCTGTATAATTCAAAAACTGTTCTGAATGCCGACTTGTTTGTTCTCTGTTTTGCTTTCAATTTGGTAAATATATATACATATATATTGTATATATATATTTAATCAATGCATGCGCTTAATTTGTTGTGGTGTATATTCTTTTTTGTTTTCTTTATCAACATTAAAGTACATTATTTTGTATTTATAATTTTTTATACTTGACTGTCCATATAAATATCGCTTTCTTATTATTGTTTAGCATAATTTTCTTTTGTTTTGTTTTTTACGTTTAGATTTCATATATAATACAAATGATTTTCATTTAACTATACAAGAAATTTGGTAAGTTTTATATATGTTTTTTATTTTATTTTATTTTTTTTTTTATGATTTATGTATCATGCAATGTTTTGAAATTTGATTTTTGTTTACCCATGTTTGAATATAATAGCAAAAACACATTTAAAGTTAAGTTGAATTCTTCGCTTCATTTGTTTGTCTTGTTGTAAAGTCAACACTATTTCCATCTAACCTCCTCCTCCTCTTCTCGTAGTATGTATATTTATAAGTATAAAAAATTTGTTTAAAATATATATATATGTATATATATATCATAAAGTTGCTGTGTGTGTGTTTCTTTATTTTTTTTCAAATGGGGAAGGAAAACAAATTCGTACAAATGGGTTGAAAGTAGTTAGCTGTTGCTTCGCACACACATATACATATATTCCGATATATACACATATATGAATATTATTTAAGAGGTTTAGATCTGTGTTCGTTCATGTATGTATGAATGGGGTCGGGAGACGTAGCTGCAGGCAGCTTTTAGTGTAGTAAGTATGTAAGTTTAGTATCACGTAATATCAAAATAAATAGCTCAGTACTTTGTTTATATTTTCTCTTGATATTTGTTGTTTATCTTTTCCCTTCTTTCAATTAACATTAACTATAAAGTGTGATTGATCTTGAGTAGTKTCTAGTGTTTTAATTACTTTTTAGTTTCTCTTCTCGTGTATTTGCTTTAACCTTTTGTTAGCTATTGGAAAACAAAGTGCCGCCTAGAAGGATAGTGTGCTAATAGATTTTCTTTTCTTTTATCTTTTATCGTTACTTTTTTTTTTTTTTTTTTTTTTTTTGATTAAGGCTTTATGTGTGGAATTCCAGCTGCACTGCATGCGATTATTTTAACTCGTTTTGTTTCTTTCTTCTAAATTTTGTAAATGTACGTAAATAAAATTGACCTAAAGACACACACTAAACAAATAAATGCACTTATCTTGTACAAAATGAATTCGACTACAAAAACTTTAATCGGCGCATATCATGCTTGACTTTCGACATTAGTTATAAAAATTATGTACAATAGCATATACAATATATATATTCATAAAAAGTGCATCAAAAATCAGAGCTAAACAAAAGCTGCCTACGCTAAGAGGGGCTGCAGGGGTGCGGAGTGTGTAGTATGAGCTGTGTGGGTGTGTGTGTGTTTGGGTGTTTGTGTGTGGGTGATGGTGGCGCAAACGAAATATAATTTCGGTCATTTTGTTCAATAGTTCTTCGAATGAAATACGCGTATTTAATGTACAATTTGTTGTCTATAAATATTTATGTATCTATATATGTATATGCTTTGTTGTTGTATTTGACGCTGCACTAGTTGTTAAATATATATCTGTATAGATTTATATAAATATGTTTTAAGTGGTACGCTGTGGCGTGTGTATGCATGTGTGGCTGTGTATGCGTGTGTGTGTGTGGGTGTGTGTGTGTGTGTGTGTAAGTAAGTGTGTAAGTGTTTCAAGTTCTTAAAAGTTAGGATCGATTGGATTTATTCTCAGCTTTTAGCACGACTCTGAGCTGCCTGGCTTTGAATTATGAAATGTAATATGACAGTTTTGTATTTGTGTTATTTTGTTGTATTAAATTTTGATGTATATTATTTGCTTTTTGTTTCTCCTTTGTTTTTGTTTTTGTTTTTA